GTGTGTGTGTGTGAGGGTGTGTGTGTATAAATGTATAATATATGTATATATCTGTATATACATATGTGCATGTATAGGTATATATATAAAAATTTATAATGTGTATTTATATATATATAAATTATATATATGTATATATGTTTGTATGTATGTATATATGTATATATATATATATATATATATATATATATATATATATATATATATATATATATATATATATATATATATATGTGTGTGTATATATATATATATATATATATATATATATATATATATATATATATATATATATATATATATATATATATGTATATATATATGTATATATATATATATATATATATATATATATATATATATATATATATATATATATATATATATATACACATATACATATACATATACATATACATATACATATACATAGATAGATAGATAGATAGATATTTAATATATGTATAAGTGTATTTATATATATATACACTTATATATATATGTGTGTGTGTGTGTGTGTTTACTTATATACACACAGATATACATATACAGATTGGTAATAACTTTTCTGTTTTTGATAACTATTACCCCAAGGCAAGAAGTACAAGGAATCAGTAGATCAATAAATGCTTTTCATCAATGACATCCTGGTGGTCCCCAAGCTCTACAAGCTAAAATATATGACAGAGTTTATTGTCATTTCACTGGTGTGCTGGAGGCATGGAGGTGGAGGCAAATATTTGTCACAAAAGATATATTTGCAATAAGGGAGCTATGGGCATTCCATTGGGTCTTTTACATTGTGTTTCATAACTAGTAGGCCTAGTTTGGTTTCATTTGTTTGTCAAAGGTATTATCCTAGTTTTTCTCTCTGTGTGGTTCTTATTTTGAAATTTACGTTTCCTTGCAAAAAGGTGTATTGTAATTAAAAAAAAAAAAAAAAATACTGTCATTTTTACAGTTCATGTTATCCATCAACTTCATAGTTAACCTTACATGTTATTGATAGATAAATAAATTCAAACTAATTGACTCTAGGATTGCAAGTGTACTGTTTTATTTATTCATTTATTTACCTAATTACTTATTTACTTACTTAACCCATTCGCGCCGGGCGTCACGTATACGTGACGGGCCCACTGTGAGTTTACTTGTTTGATTGTTTACAAACATAGATGGCTCCACTTGCACTTGTACTGCCTGTCTCGTCTGTTTACCCTTTTCTTTAATTTACGAAATTATTTTACATTATCTTATTTTGCTGTTACTAATGTTTATAACATTATAGTAATTATAATGTTTATGATAAAAATAACCATCGATATTCATGGCACTAGTAAAAATACATTTTCCCGCCAAATGAAATCTGGTAAAGCAGAGCCATCTAGTGTAGAGAAATTTCATTAAAAAATATAAAAAATGAGCACAGCATTTCCCCCATTTTTTGTTCATTTTTACCCGGCGCGAATGGGTTAATTTCTTTACGTAGATATCTACTTTACTTCACCTGTTTACCTCATTTGTTAATTTTTTGAAGAAAAAAGATGTGTTAGCCCAATTCATTCATAGATAAATATGGCAAGAATACATGCCTAGCCCATAATAATACAAGTTTATTTATTGTATTTCCACTTAGATGGCCCTACAAGTGCTTAGTCACCAAGGAGTCAGCTGTTAGTCATACCTGTCTCACCTGTTTACCCTTTTGCATTATTCCATTGTCTTAATCCGTTTGCCCCGGATTTATGTTCTGTCCCCTGTAGTTTTTGGTGAATTTTGTTACATGCAGATGGCTCCACATGTGCTCAGTCGGCAAGGAGTCTATCAGCAGGACCTAGTTACCGACCCTGATTTTCCCATTCATTGAATTGGCGGGAAAATTAATACCATTGCTATTGATACTGTTATTATTATTATTGATGTTATGATTATTAAATTGTCATTAGAATATTTTAGACAATGAAATGATTCAAAAAACCCTTTCCTAAAGTGAAGGAAAAGGGTAAACAGGTGAAACAGATAGTTCTTGATAAGTGGCTATTAGGTTATTAAGAACTTGTGGAGCCATCTAATGTGTAAATACAATAATTAAACGTGTATCAAAGTGGGCATGGCATCTATTCTTGCCACAGTGTGTGAATGGGTTAATGATATTAAGATTTGAATAGCAATTTAATAATCATAACATCAATAATGATAATAACACTATCAATATCAACTGCATTAAAAAGAAAAACATTTTCCCGCCAATTCAAGGAATGGGGAAATCAGGATTAGTCAGTGAGGCCTACTGATAGACTCCTTGTCGGCTAAGCCATCTTTATGTAACAAAGTTCACAAAAAAACTACTGGGAACAGAACATAAATCTATGGTGGTTGGGTTAAATAATTGTAATAATAGTAACAGTAATAATAATAATAATAAGGATAATGTTAATGATGCTGAAACTGGTAATAGAAATAATAACTTGACAGGTCTAGCATTTGACTCCTTGATGAC